AAAAAAAAAAAAAAAAAAAAAAAAAATCGGTCGACCGAGTGTTTCTTCAAGATAATAAAAATCTGCTGTTTCACTTTGCTAAAGAACAAGAACATTAATCCCAAACCCATCAAACAAGAACAAGAACAAGAACATTAATCCGCACAAATGGTGAGAAAACCCTCGTCTGTTTAGGGTTTGGGATTTGAATCAAAATTTTAGGGTTTTTGATGTTACGAGCTTGAGCGGAAAATCGCAGAACATTACTGGAAAAAATCCGAGCTTCAGCCAAAAATCGCAGAAATGAAAAAACAAATCCGAGCTTTGAGCCGAAAAATCGCAGAACCTTACCTGTGAGATGTTACAAGCGAGGCGAATCGAAAATGTAAAGTTTGGAATTCGGCGAATGAAACTGAAGATCGCGATTTTGCTTGGGCGATTTGATGTTCTTCAAAAATATGGGAACTGTGTTTTTGTTCTTCTTCAACGCGATTCGAGCTCTCAGGGTTGAAGATGAAGTGAAATAATTTCATATGTGAAATCGAGACCCTAATTCGATTTTTTTTCCTCAAAAATAATTGGTATCCTATGTGTAGCTGATGTGGACTCAAATTAAAATGTTGAGTGCCACATCAGAATAATCCAACAGCCAACACATAATTCCGATTGTCCATGTCAGCACATCTGGCCGGTAAATGAGCTCGAGACACAATTGCAAAAAATAATAAAGGTTATGATTTTATCTACAAATTTGGAAAAGTGGAGTTTTTTTTGCAATTGAGTAAAAGGTTGGGTTTTTTTTTGCAATTAACTCTACAAAATTTGACGCAATATAACCAACTTCATCACCTTAGTCCACAAGTTAGTCGAGCTCCAGCTTAGGGTGTTCGAGCTCGATCTCATGCCTTTGACGAGTCGATATGAGCTCAACTTGTTAAATAAATAAGCCTGCAATTGAGCTCGGGTTTGGATTGTTTATCACTAATAACAAATTGAGTTCGAGCTTTAACGATTTGATCTCAAACTTTAACGAGTTGAACTATAAAATAATACAAATTCTCTTTTCGATTCTTTGTGGGTCTTATTGAGTTGAGTCGAGCTCGACTCGTTAACCAAACGAGTTTTAAATGAGTTCGAACTCGATTTGTTTAAAAAACTAAGGCCCTGTTTGTTTTTCAGCTTTTTGCCCTCAAAAGAGTTTTTTCATCAATTTAGCGGTTTGACTTTTTTAATAAGCTAAAAAAACATTTGGTAAATAGTTGTTACAAATAGTTTTTTGGTGTCCAAAAGCCAAATTACAAAACGCTGGTTTGAGCAGCGTTTTGGATTCAACTTGTTGTTATGTGGTTTCTAACAACGATATAACAAGTAATTAAGACGATAATTATGATCAGTTTGAACGTAAAGCATGTAGAAAATGTTCAACGATGGCCCCGATCCGAGGTGAACCGAGGTGAAGAGCCGTGATGGGCTTTTACGTGTTGCACGTTAAATGAATTCGGGGATCTATGGGTGATCTATTTATAGTAACTTTTTTGATGGCTATATTGGAATTTGTGTACTACTTTTCGCATAAAGCAGCTTTTGGTGGGCGGTTTGAAGCAGTGGGCCCCATGTGAATGATGATGAGCCTCGTAGAGTGAGAGGAGTGTGTAGGCGCCTTGTCACCTGCTTAAGGAGGTGACGACCTCGGTTCAATGTAGACCTCGGTTGGTATAGACCACTTCGGTCTTTGGTAGTTCGGACTGGTCTCATTTCGTGGACCAATATGGTTATGGATCACGTCGGTTCGATATTTAGCAGCACTTAGTATGATGTTGAAAACCTCTTAATGGTATTTTGCCGAGTCGGATGATAACAGAGAGGCCCCCAAGATCGGTGGGCATACGGAGTGATGGTCATCGATGTTGCCAAACATTTTGAAGCTCCGAATCGGTAAAAAGTCGACGGCAGAGTGCTTATCGTCTTAGGGGAGTCATCTTCGGTTTACCGATGTAACCGAGGTAACCGAAGTGAGTTGCTCGTTCCGAGGTGCAGACTGTGTTCCGAGGTGAAGACACTTGGTGAAATTCGAGTAATTTGCAGGCAGTCGCGACAGGAGGAATGTGGATGGTCGTAACGGTCAACGATTTAATGTTAGAATGAACGGTCGCGCCGTAATGGTCTTAAATGAGGTAACGGTCGGCTTTAATAGGTTGCCACGTGTAATAGTAGGCGTCTTATCAGACGAAGAGGTGGCGCCGGTTAGAATTAGGGGTCGCGTCGGTTGGACGCGCCCCTAATTAAGATCCTTAACGGTCATAAATCGGCAATTATAAATAGGGTTTCGCGATATTTGATCGAGTTTTCTTCACTTGCGCTTTCATTCACAGACTTTTGCATCCAATAATCTTGTTGAGGAAATTCTTTTGAGTTCGAGAGTCGTTTCTTGTTCATTGTGTGTTTGCGGATCCTTTGGTGAGTTCTTTCTTCGATTCTTCGTTCATTTCTTTTGTATTCTTGTTTGTTTTTTGTGCAATGGCGTCGAAGGGCAAGGGTAAGGCGGTGGCAAGTTCGTCGAGCACTGAGTCGGTTCCGTTGGAGGTTTACCACAATTCGGAACTGGTTGAATTGGCCTTTGTATATCATCGGTGGGACCCGTCGTTGGTGAGACATCTGGATATCAAGTTGAACGATGAGGACGGTGATCTGGTCGTGGAACATAACGCGACCGACCTCGTGGTGCCCCATTGGAGAAGACCGGTAAGGAGGTGGCCCGATCCTGCGGTTGATTTTGTGGGTGAACCAAGTATCCTTACCGACGCTGATGTCGTGTTGCTGAGAGAGCAGGTGCGGATCCCTCCCTCGGTGAAAATTTTTGCCCCTTATCCCGGGGAGAGAATAACAAGTCCACCTCCGGGTTGTGTGGGCATCTTTGCGGAGAGTTTGAGGTCGGGATTAAGGTTCCCGTTGCCGAACTTAATTACGGAATACCTCCGAAGTTGGGGGTTACCGTTGTGTCAGATTACCCCGAATAGTTGGAAAAAGATAATCGGTTTGATGGTGTTGCTGCATGAGCACGGTGAGGGGTTGCCATCATGCGAGGAGATGCGAAGTATTTTTCTGTTTAAACAAAGTCCGAAGAGGAGGGTTGCCGAGTCCTCTTGTTGCTTCTTTGCCGGGGCGAAACCGCAGCACGGTGTTAAAGTCGGTGAAATAATAACCGAGATCCCGGAGAGTCTCCATGGCTTCCAGGAGGAGTGGCTATGGATTGGCGGGGAGTGGCAGTCAGAGGGCTTCTTTCATGAGCCCCGAATTGATGGGATGACAATCCCCATGTTTATTCATTCCGGAGCAAGTGAGTCTATTTTATTTTTTCAATTCGGATATGCTTTCCTGATTTTGGTGTTGTTCTGTGTACTAACAGGTCGGAACTTTTGCTCTTTGTAGAAAAAGAAACCAAGCAAAAAGAACCGAAGTTAAGTCCGGAATTCGGTGGAAAGTTGATAACCTTGGCCAGCTTGGATAAAGAAGATAGGGATTATCGCAGGCTTTTAGTAGATTCGAAACTTGAAGCTGCTGGTTTGTCTCTCGGAGTCACTACGTCAAAGTTTGACCCCGGTAAGAGAATTTTAATTAATAGTGATTTTGTCGAACTTTTCATATGTGTAGAACAGCTGTTGGTAACTTTGTTTATCCATCGTCGACATGCAGTGTATTATCCCCTCCTCGGTTTTCTGGGCTATAACTCTGTCAAAGAAGCCAAGGAGTTTAGGCGCAAGTTTCCGAATAGAGATCTTCAGTCCAAAGTTGGTAAGAGTCGAGATTTAAGATTGAACGACGGCATGAGGAGAGATCTTGTTCGTGCGTTGGTGAAGAAGACTGCCGGCCAGAAAAACACTGGTAAAAAATCGACCGAGGTGGGGTCAAGCGCGACTTCGGCTGCCATTCTGGAGAGTCTGAAGTCTTTGCAGCAAGAGGTGACCACTACCGAGGTGCCACCAGTTGTAAGTGCGGTTGCCATTAACCAGGCGGAACCAGAGCCTGTTGTCGTGGGGACTGAAGTGGTTATGGCTGAGGGTGTGCATACCGAAGTGCCACCCTCTTCTCCGAAGTCTTTGGAGTTGGAGCAACCGGAGAAGCGGAAAAAGCGAAAGTTGGTGAAGATGGCTGACATCGGTGCTTCTTCCGGAGTGGAGAAGAGATCAAAGAAAAAACACGACTCTGGTCGCAAAGCTGCTGAGAAGGGACACGATGAGTCTCCCTTATTTGAGAAGTCCTTTTTGAGCATTGACGAGGAGCGGGCGGCTAATGTTAAGGTGCCCGAAGGCGTGGTGGAGGAGTGGTTCACCACTTTTCAGTCCGTTAAGACTCCCCACATCTCATCGAGAATTGAAATGCCAGAGAGTGCAAAAAATTCTGCCCGCGTGCCTTTAATGGTGTGGGACCCTAAATCCGAGGTAGGGATCTCTTCTCTTTCAAGCGTGGACCG